ACTTACAAAATAGAAAATTCAGTTTCATTAATCCTGAAACAACAAAAAAGGCACAAGTATTTTAACCATGTCCCTCTTAAGTAACCACTCGTGCAGGAGAAGAATACTCCCACTGGAACGAACAAAATGAAAACCCAGAAGCAAAAACCAAAAACGCAATGATATACCTAAAGAATTGGGGAAAATTCTTGACGCCAATGAAGAGAGTTCATTTCTTTCAAATGATTGGCGGTCTAGAGCTAGAACTTGGGTTTAATGGGTGTGTAATTATCGGGGTAGGAGCTCCACAGCAGGCATTTGGTTTATTCTGATTCGGTTAACCTTTTATGTGACTGTGTTGGGCTTATTGGAAACTGAAGAATTATAGGATATTTACGTACTGAAGGCTGAAAAGTAAAAGGCTTCGTGTGTGTATCAAGGAATCTTGGCTCCGCGCCGCGGAGAGTCCTGCACGGAGAGAAGAAGAAGAAGAAGAAGATGGATCACAGGGCGGAGAGAAGAAGACGCGGAGAGAAGGAGAAAAAGGACCAGAGACGCCTCTTGGAGAAGGAGGGAAAGGGAAATAATGTCGGGGAAACGGAATACCTTATGAATTATTCAGATGCAAGAGGCCGCACTGTGTGCGGGAGTGACTACTCCGCACGGTGCGAGCTCGGAGCATCACCTCCGCACAGCGGCGGAGCAAATGAATTTTTTTTTTTTTTTTCCTCCCGACATTCAAAATTAACAATTGTAGGCATATAAATTGATTGAAAAATGATCATTCCAAATTACCCTTAACCCACGTGTGAATAGTGGAGGACAGATAGGGATAGTTGGTATAAATAGTAGAGGATGGATATGAGGCAATTAGGACTAACTAAAATGCTTCAAAATGAACAGTACTCGGCATAGTGGAGGCAATTTGGGCTAACGAAAATGCTTCAAAATAAACAATACTCGACGAATTCACTCTTTCAATATAGTAGGGATAATAAATATATTTCTGGTCATTGGTGTAGAACTTTCAAAGACGTTACATTTTGAAGTAATATCATCTACCAGACTTTAGATTCGAAGTATTCCAATAAAATTGCATCGAGATCCTCTACTTTGGAGATAGTGACTTGTAGAATAAATGGTGGCAGAGAATCGTTAGACAGAAAAAAATTATAGTTTGTTTGTGTATAACAATCTAGTTCAAAACACTGTTGCTTTTGATGTGTCCATGAACATGTGCCTAGTAAATATTATAGAGAATGCTTGAATTTAATAAAAGTTGAGCTTCAAATTCACATACAGAGTATTGGGTAGTCTACTTATTATTAATATCTTTACAATTTTCGCACGCTCATATTTCAAGTTGAGATCTGCTTTTCGTTTATACTGTCAACCCAAATTATAAGTTTACAAATCATGAAAAATTAAAATCGATGACAACTTTAAATTTCATGATGTGTCAATTTGTAATTAGGTAGACAACAAATTGGACAGTAAAAATGGACAACGAATTTCAACTCTTATATTTCTTATGCTTCTTAAATAATATATCTCCTAACTGGGGCAAATGATTGTTAGATTCTTTATGCGTGTTAGTGTCAGTCAGGGTATATGCTACGAGGATGAGTACCATAACTATGTTTTTTAAGTAGTTTTATAGCTCCATTGCATGGTTACTAGGTTTAAGCAACGTGCAATGCACGTTTGCTTAGTTTATATATAATTTTTTTTGTTAAGAATTAATTTTATTAATAAAGATGTAATGTTTATGTAATTGATAAATAATTACACATGTCTATAGCATGGTCTATAAATAAACATCGTCATAATTTTATGAAAGCTGTTTGAGATAATTTTAATTCTGAGATGACGATTCAACATTTTCCTTATCTTTCACTGCTTCAATAGAGAGGACATTAAACTGTCGATATTTTTTCTCCTTTAGTTTCTCTAGATTTACATAAACTTGAATCTTCCAAATTTTTTTTTTTTTTT